GTGAGGATGTGGAGACACTGGAACCCTCACACACTGCTGGTGGGAATGGAAAATGGTGCATTTTGGACCCTTGTGGACATGATAAGGACTTTGAAGTTTATAGCTAGTAAAACTTGATGCCGAAACCAAATAAGGGGCGTACAAGGAAAGAAAATCACAGGCCAATCTCAATCATGGGCATTATAAAAATCATAAACATAGTCATTAGTCATCATATAAATGGCAATCAAAACCATAACAAGATCCCACCTTATACTCACCAAAAACAAAAACAAAAGCAGTTGTCTCCAGTTGAGTCCACGTCACAGTGATCTGATGTGTGACAGTAGGACTGTGCTCCGTAGGGTTTTCAATGATTTTCCAGAATAGATCATCAGGCCTTTCTTCTGCAATGCCTCCACTGGACTTGAACCTCTAACCTTTCGGTTAACATCCAAGCGTATTAAATGTTTGCGCCACCCAGGAATTCCTCACACCCACTAGGATGACTATAATACAAAATACAAATATAGCAAGAGCTGGTGAAGATGTGGAAACACTGGAACCCTCACACACTGCTGGAGGGAATGTAGAATGGCACAGCCATTTTGGAGAGCAGTCTGGCAGTTCCCCCAAATGGTCAAACATAGAGTTATCATATGATCCACCAATTCCACTTCTTGGTTTATAGCCAAGAGTAATGAAAACAGATGCCCAAACAACAGCATGGACGTGACTCTTTATAGTAGCACTACTCATAATAGCCAAAAGGTGGAGGCAACACACTCATCAATGGAAAAATGGATAAAGAAAATGCAGTCTATCCATACAATGGAATAATCAGCCATTAAAAAAAAAAATGGAATGAAGTAATGATGCAAGCTATAATAGGAATGAACCTTGAAAAATTATGCTAAGTGAAAGAAAACAAGAAAATGCAGTCTATCCATGCAATGGAATAATCAGCCATTAAAAAAAAAAAAAAATGGAATGAATTAATGATGCAAGCTATAATAGGAATGAACCTTGAAAAATTATGCTAAGTGAAAGAAGCCAGTAACAAAAGTCATATGATTCCATTTATACGAAATTCCAGAATAGGGAAATCTATAGAGACAGAAAGTGGACTGGTAGTTCCTTTAGGCTTGAGGAACTGGACGGATTCGAGGGTGACAACTAAAGATTGTGGAATGTCTTAAAGGTTAATGAAAATGTTGTAAAAGTGACTGTGGTGATGGCCCTACAGCTCTGTGAATATACTAAAAACCACTGAATTGTACATTTAAATGGGTGAATTGTACAGCTGGTAAAAAATATTTAGAACCAAATGATAATGAAAGTGCAAAAATATCAAGATTTGTGGCATACAGCTAAAGTAGTAGCCAGAATCAATTCTATAGCTGTAAAAATTATTTTTAGGACATAAAAACTTACAACAAGAAAAATTAATGTCAATTCAAGAAGAAACAAAAAGAACAACAAACCTGACCACCCCCACCAAAAAAAAGAAGGAAAGATAGAGGCAAAAAAAGTGAAACATGAACAAAAATAAAATAGAAATGATCAATAAAATGAAAATCCTATTCTTGGAAAAGAAGTATAAGGACATGTGAGAAATAAAATAGATCCTTGGTAACAGATCAAGAAAATAAAAGAGAAGGAATAAATAAACATTGTTGTTGTTGTTGTTATGTGCCGTCGAGTCGACTCCAACTCATAGCAACCCCTCCCTGGGTTTCCGAGGAGGTATCACTACAGAAGTAGGATTGCCCAACCTTCCTTCCGAGGAGTGGCTGGTGTGTTAAATGAACATTAGGAATAGAAAAATATGATGTAATCACAGATATAATAAACCAAAAACCAAACCAAACTCACTGCCATCAAACTGATTCCAACTCATAGCAACCCCCGTTGGGTTTCCAAGGCTGCAAATCTTTACAAAAGTAAATTGCCCCATCTTCCTGCCATTGAACAGCTGGTAGGTTTGGACTGCTTACCTTGTTTTTAAATTATTATCAGTAAGATCTTACTTGCATGTGATATTAATGATGTTGTTCAATAATTTCCACGTTCTGTTGGATCACCTTTCTTTGGAATGGGTACAAATATGGGTCTCTTCCAGTCAGTTGTCCAGGTAGCTGTCTTCCAAATTGCTTGGCATAGATGAGTTAGTGCCTCCAGTGTAGCGTCTGTCTGTTGAAACATCTCAACGGGTATTCTGTCAATTCCTGGAGCCTTGCTCTTCACCAATTCCTTCAGTTCAGCTTTGACTATTTCCTTCAGTACCATTGGTTCTTGATCATATGCCAACTCCAGAAATAGCTGAACATCAACCAATTATTTTTGATGTAGTGACTGTATGTTCCTTCCATCTTCTTTTGATGCTTCGTGCATTATTCAATATCTTGCCCACAGAATCTTTCAATATCGCAACTTGAGGCTTGAAGTTGTTCTTCAGTTTTGTCAGCTTGAGAAATGGCAAAAATGTTCTTCCTTTTTGGTTTTCTAACTCCAGGTCTTCACATATTTCCTGATAATAATAACAAAAAATACTGAAAATACCGTGGACTGCCAGAAGAATAAACAAATTTGTCCTGAAAGTGCAGCTGGGATGCTCTTTGGAAGCAAGAATGGCCAGACTTCATCTCACCTGCTTTGGTCATGGTGTCAGAAGGGACCATTCCCCGGAGAAGGACATCTGCATAAAGTGGAGGGCCAGCAAAAAAAGGGGAAGGCTCTCAACAACATGGTTGACACGACGGCTGCAATGATCGGCTCAGGTATATCAAGGATTGCAAGGATGGCCCGTGACTGGGCGGTGTTTTGTTCTGTTGTACACAGGATCAGTAAGAGTTGGAGCTGACTCGACAACACCTAACAACAACAATCCATTGGGACTAGTAAAAGAATTCAGCAAGGTTGCTGGTTGTGAGACAAATACACAAAATGCAATAATAACTCTTTGTCTATATGTCAACAATAACAAATTAGAAAATAAAGCTGGAAAAAAGCATTCAACACACAATAGCAGCAAAAACTATAAAAGATTTAAGGAATAAACATACATAAAATGTTTAAGAGATTTATGGAAAAAATTATAAAACTTTATTAAAGAACAAGAAAGAATCTAAAAAATGAGCAAGAAGGCTCAAAATTCCAAAGATGCTGGGTCTGCCTAAATTAGCTATATATTGAACTAAATTTCCATCAACATCCCTGCAGAATCTGTTGAATATATGAATTGATTCAAAATTCATATGGAAAAGTAAAGTTACACAAATCGCCAAGATAATTTTGGAAAAAAGTAACAAAGGGGTGGACAGGTGGGATTTGATCCCATAGTTTTTAAAAGAGCCTGTTACTCAAGGATTCTTTAGTAGTTGGGCTAAACTATTGAGTAGTTTTAGGAAGACTTTAGGGGCCATTTTTTTATTTCAGGTTTAAATTATCTCAGGGCAATAGCAGCAGGATTCATCCGGCCTCCATGGCTCCAGAGGTCCAGCGTCCATGACCATGTGGAAATTAAAATAGGGTGGTTTGGACAGAGGAATAAGGTCTCTGGGTGACGGAAGCAGTTTGCTCTCAACTACTAACCTGACAGTTGGCAGTCCCACCCTCCCCCAGCAGCACTGCAGAAGAAAGGCCTGGCAATCTGCTTCCATAAAGGTCAGCGCCAAGAAAACCCTGTGACACAGTTCTGCTAGATGGGGTGGCCTTGAGTCTGAAGGGCTGGTCAATAACAGGTTTGGTTTTGGTTTGGGGGAAAGAAATGGGCAATGGAACACAACAGCCCTAAGCAAACTAGCATGCAGGACAGTGGACCGGAGCAAGGTGACACGACAGGCCAGTGTGTCCCTTACTCAGTGATGGAAAAGTGTTTTTCTCATATGAAAATAAAATTAAATTCTTACCCCAATTATGCAAAAATAAATTCTAGAAGAATTAAAGCCCTCAACATGAAAAACAAGTCAGGTCTACAGGACTATGTAGGTGATGATCCTTGTCACCGTGAGGAACCTGCCGGGCCGGGCTGCCCAGATCCCTGACTGCAGTGTCGGAATTGCGCTGTTCCCCGCGTTAGGACTCTCCCTTTCCAAAGGCAGGATGGAAGCAGTGCATTCCCAGGCTCCCTCCCAGCCAAGGTGCAGACACGTGACCTCCGTCTGCCAATCAGAGACAGCACGGAGGCTCAGCCAGCAGGGAGGAGGCTGCTGAGACCTGTAGGGGTGGAGAGGTGTGGTCCAGGCTGGTGGAGGCTTCCAGAAGGAGCTGGTTCTGCAGCGTGACTCTGGAGGCAGCCGCGGGCGGTGGCAGCTTCCTGATGGAGCCGGTTCGGTGCTGTGGTCTGGGAGTGTCCCTTTCATTCAGTCTGGCCAGTTTTTCCATCAGTCCCAAACATTAGTGCGCTCTCTACAACCCTTAGCAAATTTCTGTTCTGTTTAAACTAGTCAGACGGGATTCCATTGCTGCAGCTGAGCACAGTAACTGATACACAACCCTTCAGAACTCAAAACTTTATGACAAAATATACCGTAAGTGAAGTCAGGGGTAAAACACAGACTTGGAGAAGATATATACAGGGTTTACAACAAAGGGAAATATACGTATATATTGTTTATCAGAGAATTTAAATAGAGAAAGAACTCCAATTCATTGACAAGCAAGCCAGTAGGAAAGGGGAGAGGGGATGAGAACAGATAACAGGAAATTCATTTGTCTTTATCATATTTATATACATGTATTGGTTGCTTAATGTTCATTTGGGCAACATGTGACCACATATATAATCCACATTCCCATGAGATTCCCCCCCCCCTTTTTTTAAAGGGGAACCAGCTCTCCTTATGTTTATTTTTTCTTCCCCTAATGGTTTCAAAGACCCCAGCCCCAGCCTCTTATAGCACTGGACCAGAGATGGGATACGGGCAGGTGAGGCAGAGGACATGGCTCTGGGCTCAAGACTTCCCAGGCTTTGCGTGCAGGCAGGTAGCTGGCGCGTGGTGTGGGCTGCAGGGCCCAGGCTACTCCTTCTGCTCAGCTGGGTGGGACATGGGCGGGGCTTCCTGCTCTGCTCCGTCCTCGGCCCTCTGAGCCTTCGCCGCTGCCACCACCAGTCCACCCATTCCGCCGGCCTCCACCAGCAGCTCCAGCAACCGCAGTGGGGGCAGCAGCAGCAGCCTGGCCAGAAACAGGCTGCCATGAAGTTTTAATATGGTGTTCACCCAACATCCAAATCGCGTAACGTCCTATTTCATGTAACATACCGTGGAGATGAAACACCACATACCTGTATAAATATATACGTTGTCGCTAGGTGCTGGCAGGTTGGTCTGACTCACAGTGACCCTATGTATAACAAAAAGAAATACTGCATGGTCCTGTGCCGTCTTCATAATCACTGCCGTGTTTGAACCCATTGCTGGAGCCACTGTGTTAATCCATCTGGTCGAGGGTCTTCCTCTTCCTTGCTGACCCTGTAATTTATCAAGCATGACGTCCTTCTCCAAGGACTGATAATATGGTCAAAGTTCGTGAAACAATGTCTCACCATCACTCTCTTCTAAGGAGCATTCTGGCTGTACTTCTTCCAAGACAGATTTGTTCGTTCTTCTGGCAGTCCATGGTATATTTATTCTTTGCCAACAACATAATTCAAAGGCGTCAGTTCTTTTTTGGTCTTCCTTATTCATTGACCAGCTTTCACATGCATATAAGGCAATTGGAGCTATCCCGGGAATATAGATATACATTGCTGATTTAAGAAATGTATATCAATAGAATTATGGTGCTCATAGTCTATGCAGTTTTTCACTCCAGATCAACATACATCCTAGTTCAACTACATCTTGGGTTCAAAAATGGATGGAACATAATTCTATTTATATAAAATGTTTAAGTAATAAAAAGGAATACTATGCATTATTTTTTTAATATATAATGAGATGTAGTACCTAAGGCATTTGACTGCTAATCAGAAGGCTGGCAGTTCAAACCCACTGGCCCATCCTTGTAAGGAAGACTTGGTAATCTACTTCCGTAGAGATACCGCCTTGGAAACCCGAGGAGGGGTCACTATGAGTTGGAATCGACTTGACAGCAGTGAGGTTTTTTTTTAAAAAACAACCACAAGCGAGGCGGTAGGCGGAAGCTTGCACAGCAAACTCAAGACAGTGCTGCCCAAGTGCAGAGGGAAAGGGGATCTAAGATTTAGGCCAGTTTTTGACGGTCTGGTATGGTTCCTTCTCCATTTCCTATACTTACGCAAGAATTAAGGAGCTCTGGAAGCATAGTGGGTAAGATACTTGTGTGCTAATCAGAAGGTCAGTGGTTCAAACTCACCAGCTGCTCCATGGGAGGAAGATGAGACAATCTACTTCCTTAAAGATTACAGCCTTGGAAACCCAGTAGGGGTCGCTATGAGTTAGAATCTATGTGATTTTTTTTTCTAACTATAAGAATTATGATTTTTAAAAAATATTCTCTTTTCTCTCTCTTTTATGAAATGTGAGACATACCACTTATTCTATGGGATTTGATTGAAATAACAGCCTGACAGAAGTAAGGACATGTTCTCTGTGTATAAGTTGTAGGGAGAGCTCCAGGTTAGAGCCGTCCTCAAAAATGTGCTTAAAAATAATAAATAAATTTCTGTGGCTCTATTTCTAATTCACTTTTAAATTATACCTGCATTTTATTCTCCTAAAATAAAGAGAGAAGACCCTAGTGATTCAGTGCAGTGATTTCAAATCTCAGCAATCGATGGCTGCTTCTTCCCTGCACCGCCATGTTCTTCCTGATGGGTCTGTGTCAGGTGGAGTGGCCATATCAGGTGGACAGGCCTGTCATTCACAGGCTGAGCCACAGGATGCCACTGTTGCATATTTGGGTAATTTTTGGACTTTTACTTAAGCTGAGGTGAAGAAAGAAAGAAAGAAAAAAAGGAACTTTCTCTTTTATAAACATGACACATGACAACTACTAGAGGCTGAAGATTCAAAGCTTCTCATACAAGTTGTGACTAATTTTCAAAATTCCTCTAAATTGCACTTTGAACATCATTGTGCTAAAATTATACAAGTCTTTGCATCACATTTCATTAGCATAACAAAATATTTTGGAACACTTAAAAAAAAATGCACATACTCTCCAATGCTTAAAGCGAAGCCCTCTGGGAGTGAAATTCTCAGGAGGGGTTTCTGTGCTGACTCTTTGAAGTCAATTGCTGCCTATGTCAACTCATGGGATCTGTATTTGCTTCTTGCTTAAACTGATGGATAATGTGTTGTTTAGAATTTAAACTTATCTAAAAACAGTAGCCTTTAATGGGTCCCATGTATCCTTATAAAGTTTTGGGTAAATCAAATATGGTTTTTCTTTGATTTACCCAAAGATACTTTATGTGCACTTCTCATTGAGCTGCACCTGATGGTTGTACCTGGCACTTGAACATTTCTTTCTTCCCAGAGTCTCTTGCAACTGATTAAACGTTTGCAAATGAGCAGCCAGAGTCCTAGAGAAACTGCTATTTCAAGGAAAGCCCTCCATTTGTCATAGGCATAAGGAAAATGCTTAGGATGGTAGTCCCAAAGTAGAGCACATCCTATTAAAATAGGACTATATTTTTGAATGCCTGCTACAGGCAGAGGTCCAGCTCTGGTGGTGTAGTGCCTAAGGCATTTGACTGCTAACCAGAAGGCTGGCAGTTCAAATCTACCAGCCACTCCTTGGAAGGAAGGCTGGGCAATCTACTTCTGTAGTAATACCACCTTGGAAACCCAAGGAGAGGTCGCTATGAGTTGGAACCGACTCAAAGGCAGTGAGTTTGGTTTTTGTTTTTTCTGGGTGGTGCAAATGTTTTGTGCTCAACTCCTAACCCAAAGGTTGGCAGTTCAGGCCCAGCCAATGGTGCTGCAGAAGAAAGGCCTGGTGATCTGCTTCCATAAAGGTTACAAGCAAGAAAACCCTGTGGACCACGTGTACCCACATGGCAGCATCAGACTGCCCAGCAAGCAAGCTAAGCCCAGGCTTGTTTGTGCTCGCTTACTAACCTACAGTGAGCAATTTCACATTTTTTCACCACATCAAAGATTCTGCTTCTAGGTTTGGCTGGCATCGGTCTCTCTCCCAACCCCACAGCACCTTCCTGCAGATAGCCTCTTCTCAAATTTACAGTCCCTGACAGGGATGGAGTACTCAGTCAACAAGGTAAGTACAGGCTGCCTTGAGCTTACATAGCAATCTATAGTGAACAGTTTCGCATGCTCGTTGGGTAATCCATGCCTACACATAGGGTTGCTGTGGGTCGGAATCAACTCCACAGCAGTGGGTTTGTTTTGTGGGTTGGTATATGCACACAGGAAATACACTGCAGTCTCTCAAAGAGACCTCAGTGCAATTAGGGATACATAACACATTCATGTGGAAAAGAAAAGAATGCTATATGTTATGGACTGAATTCTGTCTAGACACAGGGAACCTGCCATTGGACCTGTGGATGCGATCCTGTGTGGAAATAGGGGTTCTGCTTTGCTGTGTTAATGAGATCATACCAATGAAGGGTGGATTCTAAATTGAGTCATCTGAGTTTAAAAACAGCAGGACAGACTCAAAGACACAGAGGAGGACAGACAACATGAGTCTAGAAGCAAATACCAGAGATTTCCCACAGACGCAAGCAACCAGGGAGAGGCTTATAGAAGGAATCAACATGGCCCTGACCCTGATTTGGACTTTTAGCCTCCAGAAGTGTGAGAAAATAAGTTTCAGTTCCTTAAAGCCACCCACTTATGGTATTTATGTTTCAGCAGGAAATTCAGACACTGTAGGAATATGAAAAGCCAAAATATTTCAAAGCGCTTGGTTCAGAGAGGAGAGTTCCTGAGGGCTGGAGCGGCCAAGATGGGCTGGAGAGGAGGCAGCACTTGGAAGGAGCCTGCAGCGTCCATGCGTCTTCTCAGGGTTCACCTGCCTTCTGCCTCACCCAGCCAAGTTGGTCTCTTTCCTCTCTTGATTCAGCTGGCTCCTGTCTTCTGCAGGTTTTCATAGCTGTTTGAACACGTGTTTAGTTATAACCCTCAAAAAGTGCTCATTTAACTTGAATGGACATTTCTCCAAAGAAAATACACAAATGGCCAGTAAGCACATGAAAAGATACTCAACATCATTAGTCATTAGGGAAATGTAAACCAAAACCACAATGAGATAGCACTTAACACTCCCTGGGATAACTTTTAACAAAAAAGGGGAAATAACAAGGGTTGACGAGGATTTGGAGAAACTGGAACCATCATCCATTGTTACTGGGAACGTAAAATAGTACAGCTGCTATGGAAAATAGTTTGGCAGTTCCTCAAAACAGAATTGCATTATGATCCAGCAATTCCACTCAAATATATACCCAAAAGAGTTGAAAGAAGGACCTCAAACAGATACAGGCATAAACCAAAAACCAAATCCAAGCCCACTGCCATGGAGTCAATTCCAATTCACAGTGACCCAGTTGGACAGAGTAGAACTGCCCCATAGAGTTTCCAAGGCTGTAAATCTTTACGGAAGTAGACTGCTTCATTTTTCTCCCATAGAGTGGCTTGTGGGCTCAAACTGCTGACCTTTTTGGGTTAGCAGCCGAATGCTCCAACCACTGTGCCACCAGAGCACCTTAATATATATGCATATCTCCAACATATTGCAGGTTTGGTTCCAGAAAACTGCAATAGAGTGGATATTGCAATAAAGTAAGTCATGCCTTTTTTTTTTTGGTTTTCCAGTGAATGTAAAAGTTATATAAAAAGCCTATTAAGTGTGCCATAACAAGGTGAAAAAGTTGGAAATATAGTGAGAATTACCAAAATGTGACCCCTTCCCCTTTGTGGCTGTGCTAGAAGCTCTGTGAGGACTGTTTCTTTTCTTTTCCTTCCCTTTCCTGTCTCCTTCCTTCCCTCCCTACCTGCCTTCTTTCTTTCTCTTACTTTCTCCTTTCTTTCTTTCCTTTTAAGTATCATTAGTGACTAATCAGGGCCTAACATTTGATAGATGCTCAATAAATACTTAGTGAATGGATAAATGAATGCATGATCAAAAAAAAATGTTACTTTAAAACGCAAGGTAATATGAGAGCATCAAAGGGGTGAGTGCAGACAAAGAAATCCCAGGAGTGAGCTTTGGAGTGCTCCTCTGTTCAGACATGATGGAGACGAGGGGGGACAAGGAAGAAGGTGTTTCAAGAGGGAGAGAGGGTTATTGGTGCCCAACAGATAGGTCAAGCAGAATGAGAACTGAGAATTTTGCAACATGGAAATAGTCACTGATGACCTTGACAGAAGAAATTTCAGCAAATGTTGGTGGCAAGACTCACCGATCAAACGCATAGAAAATCACCTGGAAGAAAACACACCCAGATGATGCTACAAGCCTAGAAACACTGATGTCATTATCACATCTTTTCCTGACTGTATCTCTTTCAATGTAATAAATTACATGGCTGCTTTTATACAAATAAAGTAGTCCTAAGCAATATATGATAAAATAGAAAAAATTATTTGTAATTTTTCAGTGTTTAAATTTTTTTTTCTAGTTTATTTTTCAGTAATATATCAGACAGTATTTCACTGCTATTCATAAGGTTTTCACTGGCCAGTTCTTTGAGAAGCAGATGGCCTCTTCCTTCTTCTGAGAACGGCCAGACTTCATCTCACCTGCTTTGGTCATGTTGTCAGAAGGGACCATTCCCTGGAGAAGGATGCTTGGTAAAGTGGAGGGTCAATGGAAAAGGGGAAGGCTCTCAACAAGATGGACTGACACAGTGGCTGCAATGATGGGCTCAGGCAGAGCGGGGATCGTGCTGGGAGTGACACAGGACCAGGCAGTGTTTCATTCTGTTGTACACAGGGTCACTACGTATGACTTGACGACACCTAACAACAAAAACAACTTATTTCTAACCTCTTTGCTTATCTGCCAGTGTCTCCCTGAACTTTTAGAATCGGGTAAAACTGATTACTACAAATTACCAATTCACGTATTTAAGGTTTTTGTGCATATTATAGAGTATCTTTTATAATTTATTTAACCAATCCTCTATTGTTAGACTTTTTAGTTGTTTCTAATTAAATTCCTGGTGTGGGACATTTTCATTATTTTAAACTTGGCCCTAATAAACCTACACTAAGCCAGAATAATTGGATGAAAATAAATTACCAAGAAGGAAGGAAAACAACTGGAGAAATTCTGGAAAAACAGACAAAATTGCTTAAAAACGAAAAAGGTTTGAAAATGCCCAGTGGTTATAAAATTTGTCAATATTTAGGGGAAACCCCCCCAGTGCCTAGAGATTATTCATTTTCAATAAATTATTATTATTATTAGAAATTATTTATTATAGACTCAACTAACTATTTTCAACAAAATCATCTGCATATCCCTTTCCAGGCCAATGCTTATGTAGCCACTTGGGAAGTCGAGATGCAACCATAGTGTGTGAGCTTGCAGTGGTGCAAACTGAAGGAGTATTTGTTGATTTGTTGATTTATTTATTTGAAAGATTGCTTTTGAAAGATGGCTCTTGTAAGTCCAGTCCCGACGGGTGGTGGCTGTGATATATCCCTGACAGAGTCCACCAGCCATGCAATCAATGGACATCACCTCGCATCAGCACTCAAATGCAGTCACTGACTGAGTCTCACGCATGGTCTCATTCATGAGTGCAGCCTTTTCTCCTCTACGCTGACCCCCTTGAGTCCCACAGTGGCCTGTGCAGAAAGGGACAGGAAGGGAGTTGTCTGGGCTCCATATCCAAGGCATGCCTGTTACATAACAGAAAGGGAGAGGCCCTCCAAAAATAATTTGTTTCCGTCTGTCCCAATCCCATCCTCAAAATAGTAAGAGGACTCTCCATGTTTTTCAAATGGAAATGAGTCACAGCAGCCATGGTCAAAGCATCTGCGTCGTTGGTCTTGACTGTCTTTGTCCAGGCCCCTGACCATGAGCAATCCCCATGTCATTAAACTTAATACACTGCTTTTGGTCATCATGTCTCCTGAGTCTCTCATCACCTAGAATAGCCCTCCTGCCTTTTGTGGTTTTATCTATTTAGATTTTTTTTTAAGTCCAGGTCACTTGTCATGTAGAATGCCCCACATGCTAGAGTCATCTGATTATTCCTTAAAACAGAGAAAAACAGGCCTCAGTAGCACATGTACCCATAAAAGCTACACCCTGAACCCTCCTTCACAAGGAGGGCAAATTCACTTCTGGCACCAAAAGTTGCTTGTCTGGTTCTTTAGAGTTCCAACATTAAATTCATTCCAGCAAACATTCTTCCACTCTCCTGCCAGGAACAAAGATGAGAAACCAGCCCAAGTGAGTTTCTGAGAATCTCCTCTCCCGGAAGAACCATGTAGCCTGTCTCACCTCTTTCCTAGACAGCTTTGGCTGATAAATGGCAAAGACACTGAAATTGTCAAGAATGTCATTCTACATGGATTCACAGTCAATGCCTATGGTAGCAGCAGTCGAGAGACCAAACGGTGTAGTGTATTGGTAAAATCGGCTTCAAAGGAGCTCTTTAAAGTGTTCAAAAGCTGAGATGTCATTTTGTTGACTAAGGTGTGCCTACCCCAGAACATGGTTTGGCATGTGAAAGCTGGACAATGAAAAAGGAAGAATGAAGGATAATGAAAGAGAATTCACTTGAATTGTGCTGTTGGTGGAGAATATTGACTATACCATGGACTGCCAGAATGTTCCTTAGAGGCAAAGATAACGAGCCTTCATCTTGCTTGCTTTGAACACATCATCAAGAAAGACCATCCACCAGGAAAGGACATCATGTTTTTGTAGAGAGTCAGTGAAAACGAGGAAGGCCCTTCATGGTGTGGATTGACACTGTGGCTGCAACAATGGGCTCAAGGACAGCAAGGCTTGTGAGGATGATGCAGGACCAGGCAGTGTTTCTTTCTGTTGTATGTAAGCTCTGTGAGTTAGAACCAACTCAATGGCAATGAACAATACACTTTAGCTGAATCATGGAATTTTCAGAAATCACGACAGCTTACCTCTAAATTTTTCATCAAGCATCTACCACAAAGGACATCCTCCTACTCAACCACAATTACACACAATTACACAATTACATCACGGTAAAAAAATGAACATTAACCCAATAAGATCTCATGTATGTCTCACAAGGGTCTCCAAAATAGCTTTTACGCCTCTAACTTTTTTTTTTTTTAAATCATAAATTAAACTTCATACATTGCTTTTGGTCATCATGTCTCTTGAGTCTCTCGCACCTAGAATAACCCTCCTACCTTTTTTGGTTTTGTCTATTTTTCATTAGTTGGACTTTTTTTTTAAGTCCAGGTCACTTGTCATGTAGAATGCCCCACATGCTAGAGTCATCTGAGTATTCCTTAATGATTAGATTCAGGTTACACATCTGAGACAAGAATGCTATACAGGTGATGGTATGTACCACTTGTCTCCATCAGAAAGCAGAAGTTAGGTTGTCTCCAAGTTTGATCACTCAATAGCCAAATTACTTATTTTTTTAATAAAATGAACAAACCACAGAGTAAACAAATCCCCTTTTTCCAATTGCTTAGATGTGTAATGGAAGCCCCGTGTGTCTTTCAATGCAACCTTCCCAAGGGGAGCTTTTGTGGGTTTTAACTCAGCTGGAAATTGCAAGCCTTCTTTATGACTGTGGCAGGGATGCTTAGAAAACCTGTGAATGGATATGGGTTATCTTTCATAGACTCTGGAATTTCCTTGACCCAAAACAAAATGAAACTCTGCCTTGTGAACAGAATAGCCTTACCTTCACAAGCAGATTCCAAACTGAGCCAGGTTGCTGAGGAAGGCGGCAATGGGGCTGTAAGTTGGGCATGGGGTCTTCTTTGGGGACTGTCACCTCCCGGACATGTTCACTGACATGGAGGTGTCCTGGTATCGCAACCCAAGTGCCATGGCCAAGCCAATCACCTAAACTCCTGACAATGCGTGGGCCTGACCCAGAACTCTTCCAGCCAGCTGAGCTCCCAGCAGCCCCAGAGCCCCCGGGAGTTGGGGCTGAGTTCTCTATCTTAGGACTTCTAGCCCATGACACGTTGCCTGACATGACACAGGGGCTAAGACATGTTTGCTCTGACTCCTTGTGCATCCACCCACTGACCTTTGTCCCGGATGTGATTTCTGTGTCTGGAGATGGCCCTTCTCTGTCCTCAGATATTTCCTGTGTGATGGGAGCTGCAGAAAGCTCCAATTTCCTGTGTAATCCTGTAGTTTGAGGATCCTGGTGAAACATCGTTAATTGCCATCCAGCTCATTATAACTCATCCACCCCTTGTGTGTAGAGTAGAACTGTTCCATAGGTTTTTCAAGGCTGGGACCCTTGGGAAACAGATTGCCAGAAAAAAGCAGATCACCAGGCCTTTCTGAGTAGGCACCACTGGGTATGTTCGACCCACCAGCTTTTTGGTTAGCAGCCGAATGCTTAACCATGGTACCACCTGGGCTCCTCAATTTCTCAGTCACCACACTTGGAAAGATAAAACAAAACTGGTGAACTTAACTATCATTTCCACACGTGAGCAATATTAACATTTAATGAGACAGTTTGCGTTCTCTTTTTTGTACAAGTCTTAGAAATCCGGTGTGTACAACACTTCTCATGCCTCAAGTGTTCAGTAGCCACCATGCCCAGTAGCTACCATGTTGCATAAGGTGGGTGAGGATAGAATGAGTTGAACCATCAAGTTGGGGCTGGGTAGCTGGAATTTTCACTTTTCTATTAGGAAGAATTGGGGGTGGGGATTGGGGTAAGTGACGTTTCTCTGTTTTTGATGTCCTTTGAAATAGCTGGTGTCCTTGTTGAAATTTCAGACTTCAGAAACCTTTTTCAAGAAGAGCAGTCATTGGAATGAGTCTGAGTGTGTTTTATGACTTTGTTCTCAGTGCATAATGCTTTACGGTCTGTGATAAGATGGGATGTTTACTGCAGCCATTGCTGGACTCCCAGCATCTTTTCTAACTACAGACCTACTTCTGTCAAAGATGATGGACATTTCAGTCCATGCAGTGTCTTAGTGTCATTGCCACGGGCTGTCAAGTCAGTTCTGACTCCTAGTGACCCTATCCAACAGAGTACAACTGTCCCAGAGGGTTTCCAAGACTATAAATCTTTTTTGGAAGCAGACTGCCAGGTCTTTTCTCCCAAGGAGTGGCTGGTTATTTCAAGCTGCCAAATCTTTCAGTAAGCAGCCGAGCACTTAACCACTGCACCACCAGGGCTCCTCCCTGTCTCATCAGTGCCCCTTATTTGGAGGAGATGCACTCCTGACAAGGAGCAAGGCTGAACATTCACTCAATAATAGTTCTGTAAATATTCTCAAGTTGTATAAATAAAACTACTTTTAAGGAGCTATGGTTTTAACTTCTGGCAGCCCCAACTTCAGCAACTGCTCTTTGGGGAAATATTCTCAATAAATATTAAATTATGAAAAGAGTTGTGTGAACTTGACACTCATTGCATGCAGTCACAGAAGACTGGACTTATTAAAAATCTTTTATCAGCTGCCATTTTTTTCCAAGGTAATAAACTGTCTTACTAATTGAACTTGAGATTCACCTTTCAATTATGTGTGCAATTGCAGAAGCCAAGGACAGACAGGTAAAAGTGGGGACCATGGGCGATCATGTTGAAAGGAAGTCAGACTTTGTTCCACCATTTCTGGGCCCAAGAGCTTCCTGCCATTGTAAAGTCCCCTGGCGGTGTTGAGGAGCATGTAAATCTCAAGGCAACTCAGGACTGTGCCCATGGAGAGAGCAAGGAAGCAGAGAGAGAGAGGGAGAGGGAGAGGGAGAGGGAGAGAGAGAGAGAGGGGTTGACATTCTACTTTTATAGCTTCTTCCTTTATTTTCTTCCCTCATGAGAAAACAGCTCACGTGACAGAAAGAATTAAAGATCAGGCCTCTGTTGATTTTCTTCGGCTCAGACTTGGAGGGCAGCTGAGTTGGACAGTGGTAAATAACTATATAATTGAAAGTGCCCTGCTTCGTGTTACCTTAGAAGTGGCGGGTTTTGTAGAGGCTCCAGATTTATTGAGACAGATTGCACTCTGCCGTGTAAATCACTTTGTAAACGCAAATCCGCACTTCCCCATAGTTCCTCTAGGCCACTGGGGTACAACTGAATACACTACAGCAATGATTTACTCTGAAGTGGGACCCTTGGGGTGACTTTTTCCAAGGGAATCGTCCTCTCATCGGGGACTCTGGTTCATGATGCCCCAGTAATGGCACCTCCCTGTTTTCTGTCTGCTCTTGTAATTCTTTGTTGATGTGTCCAAAAGGGGGCTGTTTGGGATGCAGGTCTGGCAAGTTGTTGGGCAGTTCTCATGTTTCTGGAATGCGGTAACCAGTAACTAGTGGCTGTTGAGTCAGTCTGATAAAATGGTGCTCCAGAAGGTTTTCGATGGCTATGACCTTTTGGAAGCAGATGGTCAGGTCTTTCTTCCAAGGCCACTCTGAGAGGGTTCAAACCACCAACCTTTTAGCTAGTAGCCAAGCACCAACTGTTTGCAACACCAAGGACTCCCAGGAATGGGGAGGAGTTATCTATTCTCAATAACGACAGGAAGACACCCCATGAAGGAGGTGCCTCGGATGAGGGGTTCTGTTGGCAGTATTTCTTGCCATCAGGCAGACAGGGTTCACTTAGCACTTTGACCACAGGCCAGCGAAGTACCCT